GAGTGAGACTCTGTCTCCAAAAAAAAAAAATCCACTGTCTCACCATTACATGTAGTACACAGCACTTAAGGCAGTCTTCTACTATTTATTCTGTATCTTAATAACCAAATTTACAGAAAATTCTAATATAAGGTGACCAGATTTTAATATTGGTAAAGTGGGACACCACTGATGGCGGGTGTGGGGGGGAGGTTCTTAATTAAAAATTTGGTCTATATGGAGCAACAAAAATTTTCATCGAACACAAAAATAGTACTGTAATATATTTTTTTAATTTCAACATAAGTATAATTTACAAACATAATACATTAAAAATTATGTATAGTATTATTTTATTCCTTGGCATATTTCTCATTTGAGTGAATTTTTTTTAGTAGATTGCTGTTGTTGTTTAAAAGGTCATGAAATTTTTCACAATAATTTGTTAAATTATATTTCACAGATAAAATGGCTTTCAAAGTCTCAACACTTAATTGTGATTTTTCTGATGTCCAAACTTTATTTACCATAGAAAAAACGTGTTCAGTCGCAGCATTAGTTCCTGGTAAGGACAGTGCATATCCCACAATTTTTAGTGCATTATTGTATGGAACATGGTTTGTTTCAAAATGATGAAATATTTCTAACCATTTGTTCTCTATTATGATTTTTGCTGATGCCCAAGATTTAACCTTTTCCCTATCAATATATATTTTTTTAAATAATAATACCTCGTAAGCTGTAAGTGTCACTTTCAAGGCTGGTGCTAGACTTTTTGCCGCCACTATAAAATATAAATAATACAAGTACTGTCTGCTAAATTCATGAAATAAATAAATAAATTACTTACCTAAATTATCTGAATAGCTGATTTGTTGACATCACTTGTTTAACTATCACTAGCACTAGCACGCAGTACCATGTGTTTCATCTGAGAGACAGTTACAAAATGTTTTTGTCGTTGCCAATGCCAAAAAATGCCATTGTTCATTAAGTCCAAACAATGGTGGTCGAATTCTAACAACTGATCAACAATGCAAACTTTTTTTTTTTTTTTTGATTTGAGAAAGAGCCCCAAGCTGTCCCCCTGGGTAGAGTGCCGTGGCATCATGCTCACAGCAACCTCCAACTCCTGGGCTCAAGCGAGTCTCCTGCCTCAGCCTCCCAAGTAGCTGAGACCACAGGTGCCCGCCACAATGCTGGGCTATTTTTTGGTTGCAGCCATCATTGTTGTTTGGCAGGTCTGGGCTGGATTCAAACCCACCACCTTAGGTGTATGTGGCACCTTAGTCGGTTGAGCTACAGGCGCCAAGCCCAACAATGCAAACTTTGATAAGCAGTTCTTGATAATCAGTTCTCAAAAATTATTTTTATTATTAAAGTTTAACATTATAAAATTAACAAAAATAATATAAAACTCATATCCTGGCGAAATAGCCACATGGCAGCCAAAAACTGTATATTCCCTTCCCGTTCTCTGGCCATTCCCTAGCTTGTTGTGCATTCTTTCCAAAAATCGAGACTTTTTAAAACTCTGCGGGATGTCTGGTCATCTTATCCTAACAGGTTGGCGATCTGTTCCAAATGTATATGAGAACTTAGGCTAATGTTTAATCTTTAGGCATAAGTAAAAAGAAAATTATAATTTTTTTTTTAGACAGAGTCTCACTATATTGCCCTTGGAAAAGTGCTGTAGTATCACTGTTCACAGCAACCTCAAACTCATGGGCTTTAGTGATTTACTTGTCTCAGCCTTCCAAGTAGCTAGAACTATAGGCACCTGCCACCATGCCTGGCTATTTTGCTGTTGTAGTTGTCATTGTTTGGCAGGCCCAGGCAGGGTTCGAACCCACCACCTCAGGTTTCTGGTGTATGTGGCTAGAGCCCTAGTTGCGAAGCTACAGGCACCAAGCCATAATTTCTTAAACTAATTATATAAGAGTATTTTTAAAATTAGTATAAGGCTAAAAGACCATCAAGCCCAAATCAATTAATATTTTGTAATTTTAACTGTTCTTTTGCTCCATTGTTCAATTTCAACATACTATTAACTGAGACTATTTTTAGACACCGAAAATTTTCCAAGGTGTAATGATTTGTTCATCCAACAAACCACAAATGAACATTTTCAACTTACATCTTAGGATTTAAAAATATAAACCATGGGGGTGGTGCCTGAGGCTCAGTAGGTAGGGCACCAGCCCCATATACCGAGGGTGGTGGATTTGAACCCAGCCCCGGCCAGCTAAAACAGTAGTAGCAACTGCAACAAAAAATAACCAGGCGTTGTGGTGGGCGCCTGTGGTCCCAGCTACTTGGGAGGCTAAGGCAAGAGAATCACTTAACCCCAAGAGTTGGAGGTTGCTGTGAGCTGTGATGTCATGGCACTCTACCGAGGGCAACAGAGTGAGACTCTGTCTCAAAAAAAGAATAAATAAATAAATAATAAAAAAATAAAAACATAAACCATGAAGTTAGGCAATATTTTTCTTGAAATCTTTCTTCTCATAGAGATGAGGTGATTATTATGTCTTTTAACCCACCATTTCATGGCTGAATAGATTAAGTCTCCTGGCTTTGGTTTAACTTTAAGGATTAAAAATATTTTCTGTATTAAATATGAACATTGCTTTGAAAAATGTTATTTTCCCAAATTTCCTTCAAATAAAACTAAAGGCTTAATGTTTTTTCTCAGAATGTTTCTCTTAAAATATATCTTATCATTGACATAGTAAAATAAAACTGGGAAAGATACATTTACTAAAGATGACAGTTCCAGTGGTTTTAAATTTTTTCTTATACTTACTTGTAATTTCTGTATTTTCTTTAGTTACTACCTTTATTTATTTATTTATTTATTTTTGAGACAGGAGCCTCAAGCTGTCCCCCGGGGTAGAGTGCTGTGGCATCACAGCTCACTGCAACCTCCAACTCCTGGGCTCAAGCAAATATCCTGCCTCCACCTCCCAAGTAGCTGGGACTACAGGCACCCACCACAACACCCGGCTAATTTTTGGTTGCAGCTGTCATCGTTGTTTGGCGGCCCCAGGCTGGATTCGAACCTGCCACCTTGGGTGTACATGGCTGGCGCCTTAGCCACTTGAGCCACAGGCGCCAAGCCTAGTTACTACTTTTACAGTCAGAAAAATAATAAAGTTCTTTTTCTTAATGGATCCAATTACTCATATATATATATATATTGAAATAGGGTCTTGTCTTGTTGCCCAGGATGTAGTACAGAGGCACAGTGATAGTTTACTGCAGCCTCAAACTCCTGGGCTCAGGCCTGGCGTGGCAGCTTATGCCTGTAATCCTAGCACTCTGGGAGGCCAAGGTAGGTTGAATGCCTGAGCTCAGGAGTTCAAGACCAGCTTGAGCAAGAGGAAGACCCCGACCCCATCTCTAAAAAACAGTCAGGCATTGTGGCAAGAACTTGTAGTCCCAGCTATTCAGGAGGCTAAAGCAAGAGGATCACTTGAGCCCGAGTTTATGGTTGTTTGTGAGCTATGATGCTACAATACTCAACTGAGGGCAACAAAGTCAGGATCTGTCTCAAAAAAGCCAAAAATACCTCCTGAGATCAAGGAATCTTCCCACCTCAGGCTCTGGAGTAGATTGGACTACAGGCATGCATCACCACACCAAGCCAATCATTTATATTGATTGTAATAACTTTCAAAATTCTTAGCCTAGTTTTTCCTATTACAATCCATCATCAATAGAATGGAGGTTGAATTAGATGACCTTTTAAGTTGCCTATTGCTGAGATGAGAAGGCAAGGCATATGGGTATGCTTTCCAATAGCCTGGGATAAAACTGATTCTAGTATATCAATGTTAGGACACCATAGCTAAGAAACACAACTCTAGAAACATTACACATGTTCACTTTGTTGACTTGTCCCACAATGTCACTGCTTACATATTAAAGAGGATAAAATGTATTTAGTAATACTGTGAAATGTGAAATTTGGAGTCCTGTTTATCTCATATCACTCTTATCTTTCCCTGAAGTTTACAGAGACATCCAGTTTTAGATGATAGAAAGTAAACTCAGGCTGAGAAAGTAAAAACCTGCCCTGTCACTCAAGAGCAGGGTCCTCAAACTTTTTAAACAGGGGGCCAGTTCACTGTCCCTCAGACAGTTGAAGGGCCAGACTGCGGGCCCAGGATGAGTCGGCGGCTAAGCAGGACAGGCAGCAGTGGCAAAAACACCCGGCAGTCTGGATAAATGTCCTAGGCAGGCTGCATGTGGCCCGCAGGCTGTATTTTGAGGACGCCTGCTCAAGAGGATGGAACACCACACATAGAAAGCAACAGCAAAGTTCACAGGAAATAATATTTCTCCTTAGGACATACCATCACTGTAAAATGTCAAAATACTCCCTGTCTTTGAGTAATAATTGTTTCCTTAACTCACTGATGAATAATGTTCTCTAAAATCAGAAGATGTTTGAAATTATACCACTAAGAATGAAACATTCCATTCTTGCCTAGAGGATTAAAGTCATGTAATTAAGTAGTAAAATTTCTAAGTAGCCTCAATTTACAACCAGATACAGTGCTTCAAAGGAATTTTTGTAGACAAAAATCTCATATTTATCTTTACAGTTTCCAAGAAAACAGAACCCTGGGCCCACTTAACTTTTCAGACCTGATACTGATTCCTTTGATTTGCTTTTAGCCTGTAAAAAACGATGCTTCATTTACATCTCACCTAAATTCTACCATTTCCCAAATCCTGTAACACTCCATTTTCTCTGGTAAGATGTCTCATGGTTCTTCTGATATGGAGTCTTCCTTGTATCAACAGGACAATAAACTTGGCTTTGTTGAACTGCAGGTTTGTCCCTGGTGGTCTTTAGTTGATTAGGCCAGGATAGATGACCTATTAATGATTTCTAAAGAATATTATAACCTATATTAAGAAAGCAGCCCCAACCAAATGTAGAAAGAATAACATACTGTAAGAAAATCAGCAAATTAAAATACAGCAACAGAGACTTATTATAAAAAGGATACTAAACAGAAGTACAATGTGTGTTTCAGCTACAAACTGGGCCTGGCTGCTTCCATGGATATAATTCTAGGTGGGGGAAAAAGACAAAGTGGAATCTTTAAATACATATTAAATATTGGTATCCTAACCCTAAAATGGGATATTTTAAACTCTGTAAAATTCTTATTTCACCTGATGTACATAAGCACGTAACATACGTTGAGTGTATGACATTCCTACAGGTGCCCGCCACAACGCCTGGCTATTTTTTTGTTGCAGTTTGGCCAGGGCCAGGTTTGAACCCACCACCCTTGGTATATGGGGCCAGCCCCCTACCCACTGAGCCACAGGCGCTGCCCTCTATTTGTCTTTTGATTATACTTGTATTATATTTTCAATAACAGAATACATTTAAAAAATTACAAAAACTAGAATTCCTTTTTTTTTTTTTT